AACGCTCAGAAACTGACTCTATGTTTGGCTTCTTTTGTTCACATGACACATCATCATAACCACAATCTGGACCACATGTTTCAACAACTGTGTGAGCTCATATTGATACACACACTCGTACATATCATTTCATATTGTATATATTTATTTACATTAGGTTTTGTTTTTTTAATTCTAGAAATGTTAATCAAGTTTCTTAAGATTTATTTTATTTAGGATTAGCATTTTTTGATTTATTATGTGGCTGAACATTCTTTGTCCTGTGGTTTTAGTGTCATGTCCTCCTGACTGTGATTGTAGCTGATGGAACTGTTTCATTTCCTGTAAAGGATTAAGAAAGTATCTTTCTAAGAGCTGCTCAACTTCAACTTCTGTAATTAACATACTTAGTTGTTCCTGCTGACACTACACCTACTTTCACCTTTATTACTGACACTGTAGCTTTACATCTTTCCTGAATCATTGTTGACAGTGTGTGCCCCACGAGGATAATAACTAATCAGACCTGTTTCATTGAATCTACCAGGCTGTAAACATGTTCATTTCTGCTGTAAAAATGCTTTTTTTTAGGCTTAGGTGTGTATTTGACTTCTGGGGCTCCTGGAGCCGGTCTCAAGTGGACCCACAGGATTTCATCAAAGCTGAAGAAGAGACGTGTTGCTGTTACCTCGGTCCTGCAGACATCACAGAGCAGCTGGTTTCGGTGCAGAACTCGGTGATTGTGCCGTACAGCATGTTGATCTGGTTGAAAAAATCCACCGCTGCAACCAACAGGTTCAGTTTAGTTTCTGTTCTCATGTTTGTGCCCAAAATAAACTCAAAAGAGAAACTTTTCTGCACATACAGAGCTTCACTTTGTTTTTTTTACAGAACATGGACTTGTTTATGATCTGCATTTTTTTAAACTAACTAACTACTACACCAGTACTCTGATTATTTACCCATTAATTACTCTCATCATCTACTCATGAACTAATTTAGTTTTTACTACCACTGTTTATAAATCATCTTCATTCTGAGTCCATATTTTCCAGTGAGATGTGCGTTTGTTTGTTTGACTTTCCTCTTATTTCACCACTTGATGACGTAAATGTCAAACCTTAGAATAAGTATTATTTATGATGAGAAATGTGATAGTTTGTGCAGAGAGTGATAAGGTTTATTTCATCCATGCACTTACTGTTGACAGCGATCCACTCGTTGAGATCCTCGCCCTCCGGCAGCATGACGGCCTGCCTCAGGTTCCCGCTGCCCAGCGTAGCCTCGGCGTGCTTCAGCAGCTCATACTGGTGGGAGCCCTCCGGGATGTTCTTCTTCGGCTTGAAGGTCTTGTTTGAGCGGTTGCTACTGCGAAGAAACGAACACAGAGCTAAGCTGGCTGGGCCTGCACGCTCGCGTGGAGGTAACATTTAACAGAGCCAAGCTTTCCATCAACTTCATCAGCCCACCTGTCAATCATGTCCACTACGCGCCTTATTGTGAATACCGTTATTCTATCTGCTAATTGGGACATGAGCTAATCAGACCAATACTGTTTTTTGAACCAGGCTGTAAACATGTTAATTTCTGCTGTAAAAACTTGCAATGTATTTGTTATCTTTTATAGTAATTTTATACCTATTTATGTTTGCACCTTCTTATTTTCATGTAAATACTTGCTGCTGATTTTTAACCTGCACTATGACGAGCCTACTGTAACGAAATGTTGTTTTGATCTAAACTGAGGTACAACCGAATGACAATAAAGAAAACACAAGAATTTTTTTAAATAGGTCGTCTGGGTGACTTCCTGTGCTTCTGCAGCCAAGTGCTTCAAGTGTGCAGGATTTTACACTTTCGCATTGGCTTCATGTGTTCAACATCGGAGGTTGCCAACCACCTTGGTTTTACTCAGTCCATTTAATCTGGATCTGATTAAGTTTCTCTTCATGCACTCTTCCATGATGTTGATCTCGTGTACAACATCAATCAACCTCAACGGGGGATGGATCTACTTCTAACAATTTTCTCCTTATGTTTTTTTTTTTAATTTGCTGTAAGAAGTACATCCAATTTCCAAACGATACCTCACCCAGATACATCGTTTCACATTTGAAAGGAATGTTTTTCGCAAAATATTTTTTATATAATGATGGATCTCTTCCCAATAACTTCTAATAACCTGGCAAATCCAGAAAATATTAAAGTGGTTGGCTCAATTACATTACAACCCCACCCTCTTGATTATAAATATAACATCTCAGTACTTATCAGCTGTGTGACTTTCTCCATAACAACAGTTTATTTGAGGAGTTTCAGTCAGGATTTAGAGTCCACCATAGCACTGAGACTGCACTAGTTAGAGTTACAAACGATCTACTTCTAGCTTCAAACAGGGGACTTCTCTCTGTGCTCGTCTTGTTAGATCTTAGTGCTGCTTTTGACACCATTGACCATCAGATCCTTTTTCAGACTAGAACATTTACTTGGAATTGCTTTAAGTTGGTTTGAATCCTACTTATCAGACCGATCTCAGTTTGTACATGTTAATAATGAGTCCTCTATGCACACCAAAGTTAGCCATGGAGTCCCACAGGGTTCAGTACTTGGACCAATTATCTTCTGTAATGTAACACTTGTTATGAGTTGACGCTATACAAATCGTTATTTCATACTTCTTCTTCAGTAAAATGTAATCAAAGTACCTGAACTTGTATATTTTGTGCACTCTTCTCTGGACATTACAAACACAGAGTGTCACATTTATATTATAATATTCACTTTAATGCAACATAAACATAATGTGTCAGTGTAAACAACCCCGTAGTTAACCACACAGCTCAGTTTAACTTTAATACATGAAAGGAGGGGGTTACAGCTAATGTTATCGTGACAGTTTGAGCTGAATAAATAATAAAACATGAGCTAAGTTTGCTAACAAAGCTAGCGTCCGTCGTCAGGCTAACCTGAGTCATAACTTTGATTAACTGGTTAAAAGTTGGAGAGTTTTGAGGATCTATAAATAAACACAGCTCGTAGATAATGTTAGGGTGATGAACTATGACCCTGGGTAGTTAAAACACAAACACACGGTGGTACAGGGTGGTTTTCTGTGCCGGTGTTGATGTTTTAACATCAGTTACTTCCCTTCCAGCAAACTTCGCAGCAGCTAACGTTTAAAGCTGAGACGAGAGGCTGCTGCACTCTTTACTCACAACAGGAAGCTCATCGTGGCGAAGCGGTCGTCGGAGAGCCTCGATTATAACTCCTCAATCCGGCTTTAGTCGATTTAAAACGTGTGCTGAATAACAGTGAAAAGGTCCACTAGTCTGCGATGTCTGCGCTGCTAACGGATCCGTTCAGGCTAACATGAACTGCACCCACTGAGGCTTCTTCCTCTATCGGCTGTCCGGAGGAGCGCGACGGGCAGATTGTCGCCCCCTGCCGGCTGTGTGTAGGTACTACACCACAGACAGACACACAGACACACACACACACACACACACACACACACACACACACACACACACACACACACACACACACATAAACACACAGACAGACAGACAGACAGACAGACACACACACACACACACACACACACACACACACACACACACAGACACACACACAGACACACAAACACACACACACACAGACAGACAGACAGACACACACACACACACACACACACACACACACACATAAACACACAGACAGACAGACAGACAGACACACACACACACACACACACACACACACACACACACACACACCCATACACACACACACACACACACACACACACACACAGACAGACAGACAGACAGACAGACAGACACACACAGACACACACACACACACACAGACACACACACACACACACACACACATAGACACACACACACACACACACACACACACACACACACACACACACACACACACAGACAGACAGACACTCTTTGCCTTTATTTGATAGGACAGTGGATCTAATATAAAAAAGTTGTAATAGTAATTAATTCATTGATTTTTCAAACTAAACAGTTCTGTACAAAGGGAGCCACTATAAAAAAAGAAGGATGTATCTGTAAATTTACAAGAAACAAAACAGAAATTCTTAATTTTAAAAAGCCTTAAATTTAGATTTTTTTTTCTTAGACATTGCCCTAATACGCCAAAGAACTTCTGAAGGAAATAATGTACTTTATTCTCTGAAAATACTGTCTCAATTCCCTGCATAGTTAACTTCATCATTCTTTTTGTACTTGTATATACCCCCTATTTTTATTTTTATTTATCGTATCTAATCTATTCTGTTTAATGTGTATTTTGTATTTTGAGCTTTCTTGTCTGTGCTGCTGCGACGCCCAAATTTCCCCTCTGGGCATCAATAAAGTATTAACCTACCTGTATGTATCTGTAAATTTACAAGAAACAAAACAACAATTGTCAACTTTAAAAAGCATTAGATTTTGATTTTTTCTTCTTGGAAATTGCCCTAATACGCCAAAGAACTTCTGAAGGAAATAATGTACTGTTGTCTAAAGATTTATTTTGCTTTTATTAAGACAGGACCATGGAAGGAGTCAGAAATCAGAGGAGTGAGTTTTGAATAACATACGGGGAAGGAGCCACAGGTTGGACTTTTTTTATTTATTTTTATTTTAGAATAAATTCATTACAAAATAATTTCGTGATCCATTCTATCTGGAGAGTAAGCATCAACTTTATTAAACTGATTTAGCTTTTTATTGTACATATTGTACAGATAGAGAGATGGATGGAGTTAAAAAAACAACAACATTGAAGTCATCTGTCTCTTGTTAGTCAGACTCAGCTGAAGCAGTGGGGGGCCCCTCTCTCCCTTCACTGGAAACGTACAGCACATTATCTGAGTGGCGTGTCTGTGGGTTAGGGGTGTGGCAGTGACAGATAACACCCGTGACGTCAGCGCGGCTGCGTAAAGGGGGAGGGCTTAAAAGCGTCGCTGCTCCTCTTCCTCTCCCACCGACGGCTCTCCCTCGCTCTCTCGCGTGTTTCGTAATCGGCCGCGGTGGTGTCTCTTCTCCTCTCCTCTTCCTCTTCCTCTCTCTCAGCCTCTCTCAGGATGGCAGCCGTCAGGACTCTCAGGAAACTGTGCCAACACTCCCAGCACACCGTCTGTAAGCTGCACACGTCCGCCTCAAGGTGAGTGCGCCCACGGCTCATCTCATTCCCACTTTAACGACATGTTCCGCGCCTTTTCTCTCCCTAGAAGTGTCCGACACCTTAATGTAGCTTTTCTCTATTAACTAATCTTCTCCTGGACTCCAAAAATGATGTGTAAATGGAGAAGATTCTGCTTTTAATCATGCGGGTTTGTTTGATTTATTCAACTAAATGTCCGCAGTTGCTCACACATCGGCGCGCCCCCTAGCGGTATGCCGGTAAAATAGCAGCAGCAGACTGGCTGATGAAATCGGTCTTGGTGTTTGCACCCTGGCATCCTGCGGCTTTGGGAGCCAGGTTTCAGCTGGAGACCGAGGTGTTGGTCTGCACTGCAGGAGGAGACATGCATATGCATTAAGGCCGTTGTTACACTCTTTCACACTGATTGCACATTTTAAAACACCCTGTTAGGGTTTTTTTATTAACTTCGATATGATACTAGTTAAGGCAAAGCTTTGTTTTGATACTATGGCAACACAAATAGAAGTCCTGAGCACCCCCTTATTGGATATTTTCTTGTTTTTATTGAACAAAAACTGCACGTTAACTCCTACAAACTCTCTAAATTGCAAACATTGGCAACTTTTTGCGACATAAACCAGATTTTTCAAACTTAGATTAGATTCCAGAAAAGATCAAATTACAAAGAAACCTGTTTTGATGCCATTGCAACATAAATATAAGCTCTAGATTCACAATATTTGGTCATTTCTTGTTTTAATTAAAGAAAGATTGCTCATTATGTAAATTGTGAGCAAATAGTTCCATTTAGACAATTTGTAGAAGTTTATTTTAATCTTTTTGTGGGATTATTTCCTCTCCTACACTCTTGTCTTTTGAAGTGGATTTTGACTACGTTGCAGACCTGTCCCGTGCAGGTTCTTCATTGGAAACGTGCTGACTGCAGAATGACTTACTCACAAATGAACTAATTTTGCACACACGCTTTTAAAACTCAAACCTCGTGTGGCTCCTGCACATGACCTGCAGCTCCAGAAACCCGATACAGAGATAAGTTAAGACCCTCTGTCGTGTTATGCAAGATATATACCACGACATGGATACAACCTCGGCGCAATCATAACTAAAGATCCAGTAGAGTAACGTTTCAAGAGACGACATCGATGCTCATTCACACACATCAGAAATGTTCTTTTTGCATTTGAAGAGAGAGAAGTCCTCCCAGTATTTACAACACAGCTGTGTCGACACATTTCCTCAGCACCCTGGTTCCCTGGCCTCTCGGTAGTTACCCCACTTTTTGACCAAGATGTGATACTTCCCCCTGTGAGGTTTAATCAGTTTGGACAGAATAAAAAGGGGCTGTTACATCACTTCCCACGGCTCGTTGCTCCTCAGCTATTACCGACTGCTACCCGTTTGTTGTTATGTAATCAACCAACGTCTTTGGCAATGTATACAAAGCAGGGCGGTTCCATCCACTAAAGAATGTTCCTCAGTTTAACCCACAAGCTGCCTCTCTGTCTCTATACGTCCATTAGATGAAGAATAAACGCTTCTTTAACCTGTCACTCATTTGGGACTGTAACTGTTACTGTAAGTACAAGTGGAGCATGTGGCTCCGTCAGGTGGAGGGGTAGGACATCTAAAATTAGAGGCTGGAGTTGGTGCTTGTCCAGGCTGAGATAGTTTACAGGTTTCTGGTATCAGAAGTCCTGTACTGCTGGGATGGAATAAAAACCTGTTGAAGAGTAACGCAGGCTCGTATTTGAAACCTAAAATATTTGTCTGTCTGGCAGAATTTGAAATGAACAGCAACGTTTTCTTTCTTGGTGACTTATTCTGATGTGTAAGGATGTTTTTGAAAAACTATTTTTTGGCTTCATTTAAAAAAAAAAAAAAAACAAGCATGTGAAGTAGTTGTGGGAAATCACAGGATAACACGTGATGCATTACTGTATGATGTCAATAATATCAGGTGTCAGTGATTCTGTGATAATGAATATATTGCAAGACGATCGTACAATAAACATGAAGATATCTGATCACTTGAAGAATTAGAAAAACCTGCATTTTGGTGTCAGTAAGTCTTTAACCCCTTTTTGCACTGCTGTCCCACATCATCCCGCCGTCTTCTCCTTCTTCTTCTTTGGTCATTGAACATTTGTTTTCATGTTAGCCTCATTCATGTCATGAGCGCCAACGTGAGGAATCCTGCAGTCAATCAGAATCAGCCAAATCTGTTCAATTAGTCGTATTTGGCACCGGCGACTCCAAATCTTTCATCATGCAAGTCAGGTTGACGACATTTTGCCTTCTTGATATTTTCTCCCCGCCCTAAGATGAAGCGTTTAACCTGTTCGTCGGCTTCTCTTCCTGACTCCCATGTTTATTTTTTTTGCATGCTTCTTTGCAGACAGGAGGCCGTTGTCATCTCAGGAAAGAAACTAGCACGGCAGATTCGGGAGGAGGCGCGTGCCGACGTGGAGAACTGGGTCATAGCCGGCCACAGGAGACCCCACCTGAGCGTTGTTCTGGTGGGAGACAACCCGGCCAGTCACTCCTACGTCCTGAACAAGACACGAGCTGCAGCTGATGTCGGTGAGAGAGAGAGAAAAACACCCACACACCTCGTCTCTGCGTGTACAAACAAGTTCTCTGAGATTTAAAAACAAAAGAACAAATCTCTTTTTCTGTGTTTTTTAAAGTTTTGGCTTTAACCTCCTAACAGGGATCTCCAGTGAGACGATTCTCAAACACTCAGACATCAGTGAGGAGGAGTTGTTGGACCTGATCTACAAGCTCAACACAGACCATCGTGTGGACGGCCTGCTGGTCCAGCTGCCTCTGCCAGGTACGAGGAGAGAGAGGAAAAAAAAAACCTGGAACACTTTGCTGCACGTGTTTTCAGCAGAGAGGATCGAGGTGTGCTCATGAGTTGTTGTTGTTGTTTGTTGTTTCTCACAGATCACATCGATGAGCGCGCCATCTGCAACGCCGTTTCCCCCACCAAGGACGTGGACGGCTTTCACGTCGTCAACGTGGGTCGCATGTGTTTGGACCAGTCCACCATGCTTCCTGCCACTCCCTGGGGAGTCTGGGAAATGATCAGACGGACAGGTAACAGGAAGGAGCGCTTACTTCCTTATGGCGATGACATGCTGCTGAACAACTTACTGACAGAGAGAACAAAAAAAAACCAGATTAACAACTCGTTGCTTCCTTCTCCAAGTGAGAA